CCCTTTCGCCCAAACTGATCTCGACCTTCCTCCAGAGCTCCGGTATAGTATCCGCCAGTGTCGGACGTCAGACACATGCGCATGTAGCTAGCCAGAGGGATAGGACCGGTTGTCTACATGCTGTAAATATCAGATCTCGTGCGACTTATGCATTCGTGAGCTTACACTTATGGCTTCGGTTAATTGCTTGGCCAAAGGTGTCGACCATTTTCTCTCTTCTCTGCACGACGGCGTCGATATGAAGCTCCTACAGCTGTAGCTTTGATATGCATTGTGAGCTATCGGTCGCCTCGACAGGCATCTCAGCCCGCCGCAGGTTGTTCGTAACACATTCGACCTCATATTTAAGTGAAAAGAAAAGAAAATAAGCGGGTCAACACATTGTGGTGAATTGAAAATAATCTATTTAAGAAACAAGATATGCTTCGCAAACCTGCATCTACGGGATAAAGCTCTAGCTGTGGTTGAGGTAGCACTTGCTTGAGCTTCAACAGCTCTAAAAAAAAATATTTGGGTCCGAGCATTCGCCGAATTACGTACCCGCGTTTTTCACTTCTCGATCCAACCCATCTCGCCTTACGAACAATCAACTGCAGCATCAAGCAATAAATCGAAGGGAAAATACACGAAATTCAAGCCCGATACATCTCAGAGCGAATATCCGTCACAATTTCTCCATTTTCCACGGGCGAGATCATGAAGCTATAGCCTACCGTCTCCATCGACAACCGTCGTCTACATACACCCAAGCTAATAAACACAACCATGGCGAGCAAATCACGCTGGGCAGACACGGAGGAGGATGCCGCCCTCGAAGCGAAGCAAAAACGCGACAAGGAAGAGAAGAAACGTCTCAAAGCTGAGAAAGCACGAAAAGCAGAGGAAGAGAAGCGCGCCCAGGCCGAGGCCGAAGCTGAGGCAGCTAGGCAGCGAGCCGCCGAAGAGCAGCAAGCCCAAGACGACAGACCGCCCGCGAAACGCCGGAAAGTAACGCCCGAGGGGGAAGACAATGGGAAAGCGGCAGACGACGAAGGCGGCACGAGGAAGCTGCTGCGGTTCGAGGCCGGCGGCTGGGGCAAGGCGCGCAGCGTGGAGAACTACGACAAGCTGAACGACATCGAGGAGGGCGCGTACGGGTGGGTGGCGCGGGCGCGCGAGATCAAGACGGGCAAGGTGGTAGCCCTGAAGCGGCTCAAGGTGGACAGCTCTGGCGACGGCGCGGCGGCGGGCCTGCCCGAGACGGGGCTGCGGGAGATCCAGATCCTCAAGGACTGCTCGCACCCGAACATCGTAGGGCTGCGGGAGGTGGTGCTGGGGGGCTCCGACGGCGGCCCCGGCCCTCGGAGCGTGTTCCTGGTGCTCGAGTTCCTGGAGCACGACCTGATGTCGATACTAGGCGATATGCCGGAGCCGTTCCTGGCGTCCGAGGTCAAGACGCTGCTGGGGCAGCTGGCGAGCGGGGTGGCGTACCTGCACGAGCACTGGATCCTGCACCGGGACCTCAAGACGTCCAACCTGCTGCTCAACAACCGCGGGCGCCTCAAGATCGCCGACTTCGGCATGGCGCGCTACGTCGGCGACCCGCCGCCCCCGCGCCTGACCCAGCTCGTCGTCACCCTGTGGTACCGCGCCCCGGAGCTGCTTCTCGGCGCGCGCGAGTACGGCCCCGCCGTCGACATGTGGAGCGTCGGCTGCGTCTTCGGCGAGCTGCTCACCCGCGAGCCGCTGCTGCAGGGCCGCAGCGAGGCCGACGAGCTCGCCCGCATCTTCGAGCTCTGCGGCGTGCCCACCGACGACGCCTGGCCCGGCTTCCGCCGCCTGCCCAACGCCCGGCTCCTGCGCCTCCCCAAGCCCAGCAGCGCCGCGACCGGCTCCGTCGTCCGCGCCCGCTTCCCCCTCCTCACCGCCGCCGGCGCCGACCTCCTCTCCCGCCTGCTCTCCCTCGACCCCGCCCGCCGCCCCTCCGCCCGCGACGTCCTGCGCCACGACTTCTTCCGCCAGGACCCCAAGCCCAAGCACGAGGCCATGTTCCCCACCTTCCCCAGCAAGGCCGGCCAGGAGCGCCGCCGCCGCAGGTCCACGCCCAACGCCCCCGGCCGCGGCCAGAAGGCCGCCGAGCTCGGCGCCGTCGACTTCACCGGCATCTTCGCCGCCAGGGAGAAGGAGGCGCGGGGGGCGGGCTTCGCTCTCAGGATGGTCTAGCATTAGAGTCGTGGGTAGATGATACCAACGTAGAAATGGGAAAACGGGTACACGATCACACGGTCCATGATTACTACGATAAAGATGAACGTAAACTTGAAAAAGGAATAGACACGAATACTTTGTAAGATGGTAACCCCGACTAGGTGTCATTAAGAGCTATGTAGCAGCGATATATAACCCTTCCGATGTCCGTATATCTTCTAATAGTTCTCCTTGCCTTTTTTCCTCCAAGTCCATGCCAATAATCAGTAGAGTGAGAGTGAGAGATAGAGATAGAGAGAAATTACCCCTTTCCCCCTTCGGCCCCAGTATAAGTCTTCGAAAACGCCAGTTGCATGATTGTAGTCCCCAATCCCGTATTACCGTATTTTCAGAGAAAAAGCGTGGCGTTAGCTCAAGAAAGTGTTCTTGTCATATCTCTCAAAAATATATGCAGTCAGAAAATCCTCTCCTCGCTCGACCAGTCTGCACCAACACATCTTGGTATGTGTAGTAAGTAGCAAGCTTCGACCGCTAACTACTACAGCAGCGCGGCGAAACCCGTCACGTACCAGGTGAAGCTGAGGATGGTGATGATGCTCATGGAGACGGCGAAGCCGATGGCCTGGCGCTCGGCGTCGCCGAGGGCGGCGCTGCAGGTGGCGCACTTCCACTGGTCGAGGTCCTCGTAGGGGCGGGAGGTGTAGAGGCCGAACTGGAAGCCGTCGAAGGGGGCGAGGTAGCCGGGCTCGGCGGTGGCGGAGACGGACGAGTCCGAGTCGTAGATGAGCAGCGTGTACTCGGCGATGGCGAGCTGGCTGGCGATGGCGCTCTCCGAGAACTTGTGCGTGTCCCAGGTGAAGGTGGCCGTGGGCTCGAACGTCATGTTCTGCGTCAGCGTATACGTCGCCGTCGCCACCGAGCACGACACCAGCACGTCGACCGCCGACGGCGACGCCTGCAGCGACGTGTAGTTCCATATCCACGTGATGGGCGTCGGGTCCCCGATCCGGTACAGCGTCGTGCCGTCTGTGATGGCCGGCGTTATCATGGCCACGCCGCCCGCCTGGTCCATGGCGTTGAAGGTCGTGTGCGTGGCCGACGCCGTACCGTTCTTGCTGTCGCTGCTGTCGCCGTTCTTGTCCGTCGGCGTGGGCTTGCCCGTGTTCAGGTTTGCCGTCGTGGTGGCATCGTCCGAGGACGACGTAGCGGTCGTCTTCTTGTCATCTGCAGTAGTTGTCTTCTTGTCATCCGTGGTTGTCGGTGCGGGCGTATCTTGAGATGCTAAAGTAAGAAAGCGTTGTCAGCAACTTTCGACTCGTCTTGCCTGTTGATATCCAAGGGCCGAAACAGCAAGTACATACTCGTCGCGGGATCATCTTGCCGGACTACGAGCGAGTCCACGTCTGGAAGCCAGCCTGGCCACGCCGACGCCAGAGGCGCCAGAGCGAGGGCGGCGGTGAGGATCTGACCAAGGCTCCGCGGTCCCTTCATCTTGTTGTCTTGGATGGCGGAATGGGGAGAGATATTGGGCCGTCGATTCACTCGGGGTTAAACGAAGGCAGGGAGGGCAGAAGGCCACAAATAAATAAACACCTGAGGACCAGCAGCAACGACGATTACTCCTTTTCCTTTCGAGTTGTCGACTCTGGTCGTTGTCGAAGCTCGTAGGCCCGCTCCGGCGTCGTGTACGCAATTGCCCCTGTTTTCTCCCGGCGTTGGTGCGACGTGTGGATGCCTTCGAGAAAGATAGCAAGAAGCCCAAGGATTCGGAGTCCTCCGACTAGAGCTAGACGTATTAGACAGGGGGTTGGTTTCTTTTCTTTTCGTGTATTATTTTTTTTTCTTTTTTTCTAATGTCAAAACTAAGCGAATGGCATGAATAAGTAGGCGGTGACTATTAAAGCGAATGACGGTATTAAACGATCGAGGTGGTGCTCAGTTCATTGGAGGGGACGAGTTTTAGAAAGAGTGAAGGGAGCGAAAGGGAGAAGGAAAGGACGAGATGATGGTGCCGGGGTCACTCTAGATGTTGTTCCCACCCAGGACGGGGATCGAAGATTCGATTGGTCAGGGTCGAGCGATGAACACGAGAAGTGGTCAGCGGCTGCAGGCACCACAGGCACCGCAGCAGTACATGCTCCGCGCCATAGTGCGCATCCCGCTGCCAGAAGTGGTTTGGCGCGCTGGTCCAGGCGGTACGAGCCCGGCGACGTGCGGTAATCGCGTTGCATTTTTAGTGGCCCTGCCAGCGAGATCCCGCCAACCCGCTACCCATAATGGTGGCGTGGGCACTATCTAGTAGGGGACGTGCTGTTTTTAGCACGCCGCCTACCTCGTACAGCTCGTACCAGGCCGGGTACCAGGTAGTTCGCATGAATTCCTCACGTCGCGGCCGCACAAACTGTACTACATTCGCATACAAACTTTGCTATGTCGGTATCATCCCTTGACATTTCTACCAGGCAGCGCGACCGACATATATTTATATAGACAGTATTGGAACCATTTAGACATGTAACAGGCAGGCTCATGATCAAGTGTGGTAGGTTGACAAAGTAGTCGAATAGCAGCATCGAAAGGTGAACCCCGTATCGGTGTCGAGACCATCTTCTAGATTCTTACAGGTACCTGTAGGCCCTTGCAACAGCGGGGCTCGAGCGCAAGGGATGTTGGGTCAGGGCCCCAGAAGACTACAGAGGTCGCTGACGATGTGTTGGCGACAAGACTGACTTCGTATGTATAAAAAGCTTGACGACGGTATATACACTAGGAAGCATCCGACAGCAGGGCAATGGAATGAGACAAAACGTAATTGTCCTCGGTGAGGCTCGAACTCACGACCTTTGGATATCCCAGGCTAAAGACTGGGTCATATTTCTATGAGACCAACGCTCTAACCAACTGAGCCACGAAGACCTTCGCACCACTCTGAGCAGCAATCGGGGCACCACTGAGAAACTGCTTTGTTTGGAAACCCTATATCAATTATGTGTAAACTTCCAAAGAAGCTTTCACAAGTATCAAACAACCGACAATAACATTGTATTTATTATATCAGCCCGGATCATTGTGCCATTTCTCTTTTTGCGTTCATAGCAGACAGCCAGTACCCCTTAATTTTTGGTAGTGCCAGGCTATCATTCGATATCGAGTACGGCGTCGTCTTGGCAATTTGCCTGCACTTTTGCGTCTGGACCACCAGATTATTCGGCATTTATTATAGACCAGGATGCCGAGAGCAATATAGCTCATCCTTCTGAGAATATCTCCGTACGAATTGAGACAGTGAGATGCAAGATGTGATAAAATCATTTGACAAGAAGTTTTATTCTTTTTCTTTCCCTGAGCGCCGTTCAACCGCCAATACAGATCAAGTCCGCATTCCGGTCTGGTGACTACCAATCCTCACCATGTTTTGCCGTCTTCATCGTGGACGCGGCACTGGTGATGATACGGATACCAAGATAATTCGCGGGCTCGGCTGCCTGCAAGTTTCTTCGACTCCCAATCGGTGGCATACATAGTCTAACGAGGCATAGTGAAGGGTGCCAGCTAGCAATGCAGACCCTCGACCAGTACAGAGGCACCATCATTGCGTGTCGGTATTCCTTGCCGTCTGATCTTATTCATCAGAATGATCTCGCTGCGCTCAGGGGAAGAGTGTACGATGCAGTTGCCCGTGTCGTCCGCGCCCAGCCTCTTCTCCAAGTCGGCATTGTGGGCGAAAACACCAAAGACCCTGTATTTGTTCGCCTCGATCGTCTTGATCTCCGCAAGCATGTTGATTGGAGATCGATTGACGACTCGGGCGATGTCGAATCGCAATATTTAGCCTTGATACAGTCCCAGCTCGATGTTAGGTATACCAATCTGGCAACACAGCCGGGCTGGAGAGTAGTTGTATTGCACAAGGTCGAGGAAGAGCACCTGGAGATACTGTACGTCTGGAATCACGTATATAACGATGGCATGAGCGGCAAGATATTTCACGAGCAGTTGCTTCGAAATCTGAACAGAGAGGCTATCCAGGGAAACGAACCTCAGCATACGGCGGAGCAAGGCTCGAACACCTGGATTCTTGACCTCCCTGATTCTTCCGCCACGTTTCCACCGAACCCCGAAAGCCTGTCACCTTGGCCTATCTCGTCAGGATCCCTCCTGAAATCTTTGTGGAGGGGGTTGAAGCCATTTTCGATATCTCCAGCAAGTGAAACCCACGCGACCTGGGCTCCCATACAGGCTGTCCCTTACGGTACCCGGCTTCATTCCGTCCTGGTCAATAGAAACACAATCACCAAAGTAGTCGACGCCTGCCGCCAATACCACACTACTCTCACGGGCCTTCTTCATGCCCTCATGCTGCTCTCTCTCTCGTCCGCGCTGGAGCAGGCCGAAGGGTTTGAAAGCATAACTCCATACGATCTGCGGCACTTCTTGCCATCGAATACCCCGGCATATCCCTGGCTTCGACCGAAAGAAACCATGTGCAATTACCTGTCTGTTATCGGTCACGTATTTGATGCCGAACTAGTTGCTGCCGTCCGGTCGAGGCTCCCTCGTGAAGCCGCGGGCGCGGGCCTGTCTGCAGACGTCATGGATCTCATCTGGTCCGTCTCGGCGCGGGTACGGCGAGAGATCAAGGCGAGGTTGGACTCGGGCGTCAAGAATGACATGATAGGCACCATAAAGTCTGTCCGCGACTGGCGCGCCCAGAAGGAGGGCGAAGCACGGAAGCCGAGGCACATGTCGTGGCTCGTTACCAACCTCGGCGTCCTCGACGGGGAGGCTTCTGAGACGCGGCAGGGAGACCATTGGTCAATACGACGAGCTGGCCTCTTCTTAAGTGCCGAAGTGCCTTCCGCAGCCTTCTCGCTCTCGGTCATGACGGTCAAGGGCGAGCAGATGTGCGTCTCGTGCAGCTGGCAAGATGTTGTTGTTGACGACAAGCTTGGGAAACGTCTGATGGGTGACCTGGAACGATGGTTTGGTGAAATCGCGTCGTAATTGCGCTGCGATCAATCACCAATCCCCTCTGCTGTGTGTAAATTAGTGGTAAGTTCATGTTAGTCTGTAGCGTCCCCCCTCTCAGAGTATAGTTCACTTGGTTTAGGCTCACGTTCTCTGCTTATCATAGGGCCATGGGACTAAGGTGCAGCCAGCCACGTGCTCATATCCTACAACGTATATGCGTCTAGTACATGCTTTACATTTGGAATCATATCAACTCTGTCATCCATTTATTCCTGGGGATGATGTCGCGAGGACACAAAGCCACCAAAGCCACAAAAGCCTTGTCCATAATGAAAAAAAACCTTATCAGCGTTATCATGAGCGTCTCGCACCCGATGATATAAATTTCCAATACGCTCAACAGCGTGCTATCAGTCCGATTTGGCCATATAACTTGCCGTGTAGCCATATTAACACACGAAGGGAGGGAAAGCGTCCGATATGCATTGCGACAAGGACGAGATGAAGAGTGAAGACTGGAAAAGGTGCATATAAACACGTCATACTCCCAAGAGATGAGGCCTCGAGAAATCATACCAGGCTCTTATTCAATTCTAGCTGTCAGACTTTAGGCAGCTCTTGGAAGCCTTTCCTAACGGCCAGACAATCGTGATGCCCGAATTACAGGGATAAGGGCTTCGATCATGAAGGCTGCCTCTTGAATATTACACTTACCAGTTTTATTTACAAGCCGCAGTCATGAGACTTGAACGAGTTGGAACCTTTTCATATATGTTCACTCGGCGATGTTTTACTTTATCACTCGCTGGGAAGCTAACAGGTATAACCCGCAGTACTGTAACATTTGGTATATATATTCATCTACTCTGAGACTGACCTTTAGGAGTTGCATGTCATCTACACGTAGGTTCCTAGGAACCTGGCTTACACATTTAACAACATGACCATACCTGTATCACCTGTTTCGTCTCCAATGAATAACCAGCTCAGATAGGATTATCTTGAGCAGTGAATTTTTAATATCGTTCCCAATCTGCTTACTTGCAATGGGAGAAGCATGTAGAATGCTAAGCATACCTGAGGAGTTATTCTATTCTTGAATGTCGAGTGTTAGATGTTAATCAAATATCAAATGGCTGAGAAAATTCATCTACAAGGTGACGAAATCAGATTAGACAGATCTGGCAATCCTTGTGTACGACCCCACTATGACCCCGGAACCATGGAACCGGATCTCGCTTAGCCGTTCACCCAGGCGCTAACTTCGGCTGCTAAATTGTGCTCCTATTAATAGACCGTGGGTATGACAAGGCATTTGGCATTTCCCGGCGTCTACGGCTAGGAAAGACCTTGGTTTACCTGAAAGGTACTACCTAGGTATACAATGCTAGGTCAGTCGCGTAGAAACACCGGCGGGTCGTAGGCTGTTCCCGAGTAATAAATGACTTGGTAGACTAGAGGAGTATTTATTTGGCTTAGATTTGTTTTTGATATATGTTTTAGGGAGATGTTTGCTTATCCATTTCTGTTGTACCTAAGGTGTGTGTACATGCCTAATGTACATAGTAAGCAGCTGTCAAGGTGCGTATTTAGCTGCCTAGGTAGGTCTCAGATCGAGTCGGGCAAGCTGCATGCCCAGCCGGGAGGCGTTCTGCTTTACACATGTTAAGTATGAGTGTACGTATCTAGGTACCTTTGTGACAAATTTTACTTGTACGTCCTTAAAGCAATGCTTACATGCCGTGTAAGTTAGCACATATTATATTCTAACATATAAATTGTCTATATATAACCAAATAACAAACGACGCCTACTTGAGCATGAATATTCCCTTTATAAATTGCCCCTGCCGTTCAAGCAGTCAATCAGCATGAGCCACGTCTTTTCCCGTTGAAAGCGTTCGATCCCAGCCACAGCGCCGTTGACATACTAACGGGCTGCCCGCCAGGTGGCTGTGGTGGCAGGGCTAGCAGCCTCAGGCGCGGCCCCCACATTCGGCAGATCCTTACACGTCGACCCTTGCGGTTTAACGGCTCGAATGCTTCAATGCCCAACCACGCGCAAACCAAAGCTGCCAATCCATTCTCTTCCCTTCGCACAATATTGATTTCCCTCAGCCGGACTCTTCTTCTCACCTACACCTCCATACTCCATTACTACCTCCATCCTGTCCAACTCGGCTCCATCCAATCCTACCTCGCATTTGATAAATCATAATTATATGTCAGCACCAAAGCGATCGATCCGCATCCAGTAACAGCTTGCATCGAGCTCCGAGAGCTATCGCCAACCCCGCTCCTCTTGCTGCGCCTGTCGCACCACCCTTTATTACTCCGCCGACCTCACAGTCTGGCTTCGCTTCAACGCATTGCTGTCGCCCTCTCTACCTGCCGGTGGTCATGCAAATAAGTCGAGACCATGACCCAAGACAAGATGACTCTGGAAGATTGTATGCGATGCTACACCTATACCCCTTTCCTTCAGTAGTAGCGCGAAGATGAACGCGTCGGAGCCATCTTGCTTGACATGAGATTAACTGACGTCTTATTGCCAGGGTTGGACGATCTGTGCGTCCGGTTTATCATAAACCTCCCTCGTGAAGATCTCGAATCTGTCGCCCGAATCTGCTTCCAGATCGAGGAAGCACAATGGTTCTACGAGGATTTCATCCGCCCCCTCGATCCCACCTTGCCGTCCATGTCGCTACGCAGCTTTAGCCTCAAGATGTTCCAACATTGCCCGCTGCTCGCATCCTTCTCCGTCGAAAACCACATCCGAGCTTTTGAAGAGTTCATGCAGTACAAGACGAGAGTTCCTGTCCGGGGCGCGGTCATGCTGAACGACGATATGGATGCTGCGGTTCTTGTTCGAGGATACAAGAAGGGCGCAAGCTGGAGTTTCCCTCGAGGCAAGATCAACAAGGACGAGGACGATCTCGATTGCGC